AGAGAGAGAGAGAGAGAGAGAGAGAGAGAGAGAGAGAGAGAGAGAGAGAGAGAGAGAGAGAGAGAGAGAGAGAGAGAGAGTGCAAACGAAAGTGAGAAAGAGGAAGAAAAAGAGAAAGAAAGAGATAGAAAGATAGAATGAGAAAGAAATGTCAGACAGAGACAAATAAAGAAAAAGAGAAAGAAAAAGACTAAGAAACTAATAAAGAACTAGACATACAATTTAAAACACGTTACAGGAATTTCACAAAATGTACAAGTGACTTCATGAGAGAGAACGAGAAAGAGAAAGAAGGAAAGTAAGAAAGAAAGAGTTTGAAAGAACCAAATAAAGAAAAAGAGAAAGACAGAAAAAGAGAGAAAGAAAAAGAAAGAAAGAAAAGACAGACAGAAAGAAAAGGAGGAAAAAAAATTAAAACACGTAAAGTGCAGGTTTTATGCAGTAGGGGTACAGGTGTAAACGGTGCGATAAAACTTCTGGGTGACTGTCTGGTACACCTGTCTAACGGAGGTGCAGCTCTTCCAACCCCAGGCGCCGCAGTGGGTCTGGACGCGCTGGGGCACTACTTTCTTGTAGCTCCGCGTGTAGGCCACCTGTTTGGGCACGTACTTGCACTTCCTGTAATGAAGGAGAGGTTTACTTAAACGTCTTGTTAAGAAAGGTGTGCTTATTCTTCCCGTAATGGAAGGAAGGTTTACTTAGACTTCCTGTAATGGAAGGAAGGTTTACTTAGACTTCCTGTGATGAAGGAAAGGTTTACTTAAATTTCTTGTAATGAAGGAAAGGTTTACTTAAATTTCTTGTAATGAAGGAAAGGTTTACTTAAATTTCTTGTAATGAAGGAAAGGTTTACTTATATTTCTTGTAATGAAAGGAAAGTTTACTTAGACTTCCCGTGATGAAGGAAAGATTTACTTGAATTTCTTGTAATGAAAGAAAGATTCACTTAGACTTTACTTACACTCCCTGTAATGAGAGGAAAGTGTGTGTTGTTTAGATTCATTTGTGGTTGATTTTACGAGACAGAGAGAGAGAGGTTTTGATTTCATTTTCTGTCGTTCTTGGTCGATTCTTCGGGTCTTGAGAAAGTAGGAGGGAAAGGGTGTAGTAAAAAGAATTCATTTTTTGTGTATTTTGATGATATGTTTTTTTGATGAGAACTGATGAATGGGTGTGAATATTTCTTCATCAGGAAGAAAGATCAAATTCTAATTCATTTGGATGAGGAGGAGGATTCTTTTATGATAAGAATAGAGCAATAATTTTACCTTTGATTTTACCTAAGATTTGTTCATTCTTGAATAATTCTGATGATGATGATTTTTCATGATAAGAATAGAAGAATAAATATAGATATTCTTTTTATTAAAGAGGATTTATTAATTCGTGGGAAATGGAAAGGCTAAGAGGGAGAGATAACATTAATAATTAAGCCGTATTCCTAATCATAAACGAAGCCTCATTTTCGCAATTCACACTATGTTGACCTATTCCTTGAACTAATTCCTTGACCTTATTTGTTGCCCTATTCCTTGAACTTATTTGTTGTCCTATTCCTTGAACTTATTCCTTGAACCTATTCCTTGAACTTATTCCTTGAACTTATTCCTTGAACCTATTCCTTGAACTTATTCCTTGAACCTATTCCTTGAACCTATTCCTTGAACTTATTCCTTGAACCTATTCCTTGAACTTATTCCTTGAACCTATTCCTTGAACTTATTCCTTGAACCTATTCCTTGAACTTATTCCTTGAACCTATTCCTTGAACTAATTCCTTGACCTTATGTGTTGCCCTATTCCTTGAATTTATTCCTTGAACCTATTCGTTGAACTTAATCAAGAGAGAGAAAAAAATAATGAAAGAAAGAAAATGAAGAAAAATAAATGAGAGAAAGAAAATGAAGAAAAAGAAAAGAGAAAAAGAAAAAAGAAAGAAAGAAAGAAAGAGAAAAGAAAAAGAAAAAGAAAAAAGAAAAAGAAAAGAAACAGAAAGAAAGAAAAAAAAAGAGAAAAGAAAGAGAAAGAAAGAAAGAGAAAAGAAAAAAGAAAGAAAGAAAGAAAAGAAAAGAAAGAGAGAAAGAAAGAAAGAAAGTAAAGAAAAAGAAAGAAAGAAATACAGAAAGAGAGAAAAAGAAAGAAAGAAAAAAGAAAGACAGGAAGAAGAAAGTAAAGAAAAGAAGGAAAGAAAGAAGGAAAGAAAGAACTAAAGTAAGAAAAAGGAAAGAAGAAAAAAGAAAGAGAGAGAGAGAGAAAGAAAGAAAGAAAATAAGAAAAAGGATGAAAGAATCACGGAAAGAGAGAAAGAAACAAAGAAAGAAAGAGAGAGAAAGAAAGAAAGAAAGAAAAAGAAAGAAAGGGAGAGAGAAAGAAAGAAAGATGAAAGAAGAAAGAAAGGGATAAAGAAAAGAAAAGAAAGGAAGAAAAAGAAAGAAAGGACAAAAAGAGAGAGAAGGAAAAAAATAAAGAACGAAAGAAAGAGAAAAAGAAACGAAAAAAA